CCATGCATATTTGGATGTTCTGAAATATTTTTTAAATTTCAGTACATAGGAATTTTATTTTACTATTGTTAAAGAAACTTGTTAATACTCATTGAAGAACAGTAATAGTATTGACTTGTTCTCCTATGATGATAGCTTTTAAGTTAAATACTTAATAACTTTACATCTTAAAAGTATTAATATTTGTACAATAGTCGTAAAGCAACAAAATTGAAAATGGATTAAAAGGATATGCAAATTTTCGTGATATTTTGCCGATTATACTGTGCGAAGAAATCAGTAGAAATCAACTCATGAAAAATTGAATTCTCATTGGTCCTCTAGTGTCCCTCTGGTGTCCCAGGACGATTAATCTATCTGCCGTGATCTAATCAATTTCCCTTGGAATCAACGTATCAGGATTCCAGGCACAGCACGCAATTAGCTACATCTACGAAGCTTGAATTAATCTTCTTCCTCTCGGAGAAGCTGCTAAATACATTCTACTAAAAGATGATTAATTAAAATACTTCACTTTTAATTAATACACTTCCTTATTGTAGACACCTTTTTATCCATAAATCTACAAAGTATCGTTTTTATTCTTCTCTAACGATTTACATACTAGCAGTGATCAACATCAAGTAATAATTACAAAAAGATGAACAATAAGTACCAAATATAAATATCAATAATTAATAATAATTTAGAAATTTTACTGAAGTGCACAATTGTATCGCATGCAACTGATATACGATGAAATTAATATAATATACAGAAAAATGTCTATCTTAACTTCAGATTTGTAAATGAAATCGCAGAAATATAAATTCACATTAAAACTTGCAATCTAAAAATTATAAAAGAAGAATGTCTACTACGGTAGAAATATTCTACTACAGAATAACCGTTTTAACAATATCTCAGTTGTCTTGACAACCAGCTTTCGGTACGGTAACCTTAAAAATGTCCGCAACACACTCAGCTCGCTAGTCTAGAATCACACGAAACCGTGTGTCAACATGTTTGCCGTGTATAATAAACGAGAGTACAATAACACTATTCCCACGTCTGTGCCCTAGGTGTACACTCGCATGTTTATTTAAGACGGTTAGAGTCAACCCTGCTACACCTGTGTGATACACCGGCTGAGGCATACAGTTCCATGTCAAATGGAATAACGATTAGCAGCGCATATTAAGTCGCAGTGGCCACTATCACGGTCAGTAGGGCTGCTCTGCTTCCGTTTTTTCTTTGTCACGGTAACGCCAAATGATAGAATCAAATGTAGAAAGTTTATGCATCGATATCAACTCAGACTGTATGTTTACTTGCGCAGATTGTTCGCGAGACATGGAAAGTGATTCCTAAATCTTGATAAACAAGAAAAATGCAAAAGTTTCTTTGTTAATTTGATACTACAGGATATTTTTAAAGTAAAACGCTTATTTCAGGGAACGAATTTCATTTTCAGTTTGAAATTATTTCATTATGAATAATTTCTTTTCTTTGGGCTAATATTTGTGGTGTGATACTTTCTTGATGCAAATATTTCAGCGTGAGAAGAACCTATGAAATTGAACATTTTTACGTAGAAAAACATATGAATAATTGAAGTCTGACTCATTGTTTAATTTTTGAAAGAATATATCCAAACATAAATTTAGTTACTAATATTAAGAATTCCATTCTGGTAATATTATAAAATACTGTAGTAAAAGTAATTTTAAAATATTGATTTTTTGATAGAGTTTATACTTATGTGTTACAATAATGAGAATATCGAGTTTTATTTCAATCTTTTGTTACTGAAGGTAGACATTCACTAGGACAAATGGATAAATCCATATTGGATTGAATCTTCTTGACAGATCATGGATATCTAAGCTGATATCCGATCCACAATAGCTAACGTTATGCTATTTCGTTAAATGTGAATCGACCTTTATATGGGATGCGTGAGTGAGGCCAAACAAGGACGCAAGCATCGATTCTGACCTAACCACCTTTGCCATAGTCTTCAGCCTAACTTCACCAACTCACCCCGTTTCCACTCTCAACCAATTCTGACATAATTGCGATTCACCCATCTATGAATCCTGCAACCTTCTTCCTAAACAAATTCTTAGAAATTTGTGGACAACAATCTCTAAAAACTGAATCAATTTTATAAAGCTATTTAATGATCCCATTACAGTACATTAAATTATTCAACACCAGTAATTAATCAAATATATCGGCATGTTAATTAATATAATAAACAAGAACAATTGAAGCCTTAAAATTGAGTTATCAAAAAATTCAGTTCAATTGAAAAAGTTCAATTTGCAATTACACGGTCTTCAAACGTGAAGTTCTTAAGCATCTATACTTACACGTATTTCTCCATCGGGCTATATCAAAGGAATCTCCTGCTCATTTCAATTCACAAAACCAAATATTCCCTTTGAGTTTCATACCGTTGACATAGATTCGTCTTCCAGAACAAGAGTCTCACTCACAGACAAAGTAGAATAATATCTCAGTTGAAGAGCTTGATTTAAGGTCACTTTGATCCATTCTGTATATTTTGATCATCTTGCCCAAAGTATTATCTATATACACGAGATTACAAGCAACTTTTAATAATATTTCAGCCTGTAAATTATGTAACGCTGCGCAAGGATAGCACACTAAACATTATTCCGAGAGCCACTGAAGTTTCCAATATTCATGATCAATAAAATAGAGACTTTAATACATGAAATTGCTCATTAGTGTTACGCGATCGATAACGCTGTCCTCGTTGGAGTTTAAAGCGGCCTTCTAGCAACTTACCTTATGTTCCCACTTGTATCAAACTTTTTTGCTGAAAGTAAATTTATACGGATGTATTTTTTTTTTCAATTTTCATTATACGGTGAATTTCGGGTGGATTCGAGATCGACGTTCAACTTGCCAAAAAAGAACAGTTGCGAATCGTGGCAGCGAGCCGAGCATCCCTGGACGAATCGATAATCGATGGCTGTCTACAATTTTCAAGATTTTCGACACCGAACAGCGTGTACACTTTGATCAATAATACGCTGCCGCTTCGCGTTGGATTGGTTTCGATGCCAGCGGCAAGTAGAGCATGCGCCTGATAAACATTAAGGGATCTGTTGTTGCCCCATCGCTACGAATCTATTAATCGTCTCACGTCCCCGCGGCTATTCTGATCTCTACTTGCTCCCGTTTCTTCCATTGATTTTATTTCGAATACGCTCCAATCCGTTTTATTCGCAACAACGAAATCCTTTTGATCTAACAGTTTGAAACATTGAATCGGGGAATTAGAAACCTACAAACGGAATATTTTATTTGAAGACTTTTTATCGTGCAGAACAATAGAGGGAAAACTTAAGTTATAGCTAAAATAAAAATCAAATTTAAAGGAAAACGGAGTTGAAATTTAAATGTACAAGATGATAGACTTGAATCATGGATATAGGTATAATATTGAGTATTTGAAATATCAGTTTCATTCAAATATAGTGTCTGAATTATTCACTTTGTCAAAGAAGGTTTTAGTTCTGTTAAACTAGTATATAAATGATCGAAATTGTTACAATTTCACAATTCTCTTATTCTTGAAATTTCCATTAAATTTTCATCATTTTTAGTGAAACTTGGAATACATTTCTATATTTCATAAAGACTTTCGTTGTGTCTCCTAGACTTCGAAATTCTGTAGAGTGTGTATATATGGTAAATTTATCATAATAAATAATATATTCTCACGGAGAATAGAGAACTATGTTCTCCTTTGAAGAAGTACCATTTCGAACGTGCATAACATCAAACAAGGTAGCTAAATGAAGGTAATAGAAGAGCTAGGTCACAGTGAAAACGCCCAAATTGAGAACAGTGCCTAGTAGTGCCCAGCGCTTGATGCTAAAGGCCGGTGCACACTTTTGATAAAGCAACTGTAATGAGATTTCGTCGCATAATATAGTCAAGAACGAAATGATGCTGGGGGTACCACGCAATGAACAAACCTTTCTCCTCCGTTACATTTTGAATCTAGAATTTTGGAATTATGCATTCTGAGGAGTTATGCATAATTCTTTACCAAGTCTCCCCACCGTCTAATGCACGTAATTTGTCAAACAGCGTTATTGTTTACTTCTGTGAGAATCGAAATGTAGAGAAGATTCTATAAAATTTTCAAGGAAGCTTGCTGAAAATGAACAGAGAAACGTTATCGCACCGAAAATGCACTTTATATTACAGTTCACGTACCGAAGGAAATTCTCTGGCTAGAGCAAGTGCATTCCGTGGTCTTTGAGGTCAGATTACGAGAGCGTTCATTTGCTTAACTGTTTAAGACTATCGGCAAACTTGGATTATCTCTTGATCGATGTCGTCGACGAGCTCCTGAGGGCACTAAGAGCCTCTAGGGTCTTCGGAAGAAGACCTCCAATTTGATGTTAAAATTATTTCGCGCCACGGAAATCAGTAATTTAGATGTTACAGGATAAATGATGCTATGTTGCGAATAAATCGTTTTCAAACTAAAGTGGTTAATTTATTTATACATTTATGTAAATGTATATTTATTAATATACTTTGAAACAAGCATTTTTATTATTTTCAGTCACCCGGAATTTCTAATGACGCAAGCAAATCTATAACTACATTTAGAGTCATCACAATACAACGATATATTACTTAAAAACATGTAAAGTTTTTATAATATTAACTAATAACTTATTAAGTTGACATACATTCCTTATTTAAAACTAAAAACGAATTTTCATTAAGATTCGGGTTAGAGTAATCTATCTACCAAATACTTCACCTTAGAACATTGATTGCATTTTCAAATACTATTCATTCTACGTACTTTAATTGCCTCTTCTAATATAGCCTTTTTATATATTATACTATGTATTCCTAGTAACAACGATAACAATAATAAATAATATTTCAGATCCAAATGTTTCCGGACGATAAAGAAATGATCTCCATCTCACTGACCATCATCGATATGTTTGTTTCAGAAACTTGAGCAAGACGATGACGACGAGTATCTCAACTCCCCCTGGGCCGACGGCGGCAGTCTGAAGCGGCACTTTCAAGGTCTGAACAACATCTCGTGGAAACCGCACTAAAGTGACCCAGGGAACGGGGACGAGAGAAAACGGAGGAGCGAAAGGGATGAAGAAAGCGAGAAAGAGAGAGAAACAGCGAGGAAAAGGGAGAACGAAAAAGATGGGAGTTAGAGGATGGGGTCAGGTTCTACGGAGCCTATTAAAAGTTACCGACCGCGGACAGCCAATATTCTCTCACCGACTAACAAGAAGAAGCAAGAAAAAGAAGAAGAAGAAGAAGAGGAAGAAGGTGGCAGGCAAGCAGGCAGGCGATCAAGAAACCAAGTACTAATAACGCGAACTACAGGAAGCAACGTAGCTAACAGGAATTATCACGGAGTGAACCAGAGATATAGAC